GAGGTACCACTTGACTGCGACGTGTGGTCTCTGGGCTGTGTCCTGAGCGAATGCTTCGTCTGGCTGGCTGGAGGCGAGGAATTACGGTGTGAATACGAGACTCGGCGAAAAGCAGAGTTAAGCGATGTTCCAGGCGTCAAGGGCAGCAGTTATGAGGCTTGTTTTCATGACAAAAGAGAAAGGCTTCGTTGCGTCACTGATATTCACGATCAAGCGACAGAGAGTCTGAATCGTAATGACAGTTTCTCTCCGGTTGTCCGAAGGTTAATAGAGGACTTCATGCTACAGCCAAACGGCAGGGGTCGATTGGATGCCATTCAGGTTTGGCATCAGTTCAAGATCGCTGTTAAGAACTCGAAGAGCCGAGTCAATCCGAATGTAGCGGATCTTGAGGTTCAGAGTCCATCAGACAGCGGAGCTACCATGTTTCACATGAGGACACAATCCTCAGCTAGAGGGACACTATCGAATGATACATCTACCTCCTGTTTCAGCGGCACTAATCCGGTAGAGTCGTTGTCCCGAGGTGAAGTAGTCGCCTCTAGGGCTGCAGAGACAACGAGAGACGCTGCTTATTCAACAGATCTATTGTATCTGGCGACCAACGCCGCGTTGCCGGATGCAAACTCGTTATCCACAAAAGGCTCTCTTCGAGTCCCGGTTCGGACTAAACATGGATTATCGACCCCAGTGTCACCCCGATCTCAGCATACAGCCAGCAATGACTCTTGGCGGGATATGTCATCAACGGGGGTCGGTTCTTGGAACCCCAACAACAGTCCCCATTCACCTTATCATGAAGAGTCGACCTATGATTCTCTTCAAATGGTACGGAACTCGATTGGTCCTATCAGCCAAGACAACTCCGGGGAGGTACAGGGCGGAATGCCTCAGCGGCCATCCAAGACAAACCGCCCGTTCTCGGATCCACAACCAAGACTAGATGATCGTCTACACTTCCCTACTTTCGATTCTAGCTCTCGCTTCAATAAATCATCATCATATGGGCCTCCTTTCACGAATGGTGACCTCGAGAAAGAGACACAACCTAATGATGTGCGTCCTAGAAGCGAAAATAGAGCAGAGCGTAGGACCCAGGCTCAGAAAACGTCGGCTGGCATGTCAGAAGAGCCATATCCTCATGTGTCTACTGAAAAGGTTTTGAAGTGGAAATACTGCAATAAACGCGACCGTGGACAGCTAGAAGGCCTCAATGATGCGATGAACGCTCTGAAAGACCGAGACATGGTCTTCGTGATTGACGATTCTGAATCTATGAGAAAGAATCATCGTTATGAAACAATCCAGACTGCCGAAGCCTTGATGTATTTGGTGAAAAGTGTCGATCCTGATGGCATAGAAATGCTCTTCACGTCTCGACCAGAAGGTCCTCCCTTGAAAGGAAGGCAGCGCTGGATCAAGCCTTCGATAAAGCCGCTGATCAATAAAATCAAAACGCATTTTGATAACCATGGGGCGGGAACAACCAACATGGAGCATGCCCTTGACATCATCTTGAAGCGGCCCTACAGGCGACCGATATCTTTCATCGTCTTCACCGACGGTGTGTGGCAACGGGGCGCAACACTTCCAGGAGGAGGCGTCGAGAATGCGATTATATCTTACGTTACACGCTGGCAACGAGTCAAATCACGTACCGATGCCACCATCATGTTTGTGCGCTTCGGCGATGACCCGCTCGGCATGAGACGGCTTGCATACCTGGACGATGAGCTCAAGAACCATGGAGATATGCGCGGGCGGTAAGGCGACTCCCTTCCAGATTCTCATTCCGCTTAGTGTAGCTGACAACTCCATAGGGACATTGTTGACCATAAACGCTATGACTCTTCAGTATGGTCCATGTTAATCGGCGCACTGAGCGAGGCCAATGATAACGTTCAGCCGAGCCGCGACAGTGCCGAACCCCGGTACCTGGATAAGCTCTCTTCTGAAGGGCTCTGATTGTTGCCGATTGCTCTAGACAGATGAATTATTCGCCTAACCTTGCTCAAAGAAAAATGTCATGATCGCCCAGAACCTTGATGGTCGGCTCAGAGGAAGAGTGTCCTGCAGCTCATCCCACGTCCTTACCGTGTTTCACGGAAGTTTCGGGCGAATTTCTATGAATGCAGGCGACCACCAGATGGGCGACATTGCTCGGCTGTACGTTGACTCAGGCTAGACGATGAGAACGAAGGTATTTGATGATTGATCCTATATTCTTGAGTTTACGCGGTCACTAATAGAGCAAGTAGTCAAGTATCGTGCTCCTGCCAGCGACCAACATTAAATATCAACGCATTCTATACACTTGGCGTTTTCAGAGGGAGAAGCACTTTGCATCAGAGAATGAATCCACGAATTAACGACAATCATAAGCATTTAGGCATTTTACCGTCAACACGAGAACCGAAAGCATTAGACAGGCCAGGGGTTGGTGGACCTAGTTCAATTCCTCGTTCAGCCCTTAATAAATTCAGTAAATACAATAACTTATGAGTAACGATCATTTAACGAACCTGTTGATATGCTATCGACTTGACTAGAGTTGAAGGCCTTTCTAAATCAAGGGATACGATCAACAATCACGTGTCTCTCACTACAATGGTAACTATTCATAACTTTAGAAAAGGCGGTGCAGGTACATCTTCCTCTTCAAGATATTGTGATCCCCGGGCTATTGACCAGATAATCACTGTGTCAAGAAGAACTCTTGTAGAAAACCTAGGCTCCTTGGACCTTTGTATTTAATCATGTCACGACTGAGATATAAGCCGTTATTGCGCGCTATGTACTACTATTAGTCTTGGTATGCTGAGGTTTCTCATATAAAAATGGTGGCTGTAGAGGGATCCACCACTTGCATAAATCGTGTGGAGCCAGCTAAAGTTTGCTGTTTCTCCAAGCCCCAGGCCTGAAGAGCTACCTGTTTGAGCAGGATGCAGGCTCGGAGACCCCTGTGGGCGCTGCACTAACAAGAGTCTGGCACTAAGTGTGTCGTGTCGCTGACGTTTAGAGGGCCGGGTTGGGTCTTGTGAGGTGAGTTGTGCAGCAGGGACGCTAATTCTCTCACCGTGGCGAGCTCCGCTTCCCGGTGGGGGGGTACCCTCTCTCTGTGTCCTATTAATCCTGTTAGTCTTGGTCCAGGAACTTCCGAGGTGTGTCAGCCATACAGTCAGGAGTCAGGGCAGTCAATTACTCACCTCTTCGAAAGATGGATGAGGCGGGCATTTCCAAGTTGTAATTTGGCAGAAGTTACATTACGTTTTAATCACTCGTTGCATTCGTAAATTTCCCACACTCAACATAGCTGCGTATTGCTTCTTGCCTCCAATCTGGATCTGGCCGACGGCATTCGCATTTGCACGCATTTGCACTGCATGAGCTAATTACCTGCCAGTCGGAAGCTCCGTTCTCTCTAGTCTACTGCGTACACCCGTGGAGGTGTCGCTCGCTCTATCGATAAGAGAGTCGCCTATGATGTGATACCGGCGGCCATTACGACCTGACCCGAACTCAGGATCAGACCGCTGCCCCAACACCCGCGGCCGACAAAGACGAACTGAACCCGCCGAGAATTGCCTCGTCTCTCTTTTATTTCCCCAAGAAAACAATAGAGTGAAACGTCAAACGAAGTGTGTATCTGTCGAAGTGAATGCACAGCACCAGCATCTGGGAACAGTGACCCGGCCCGACCTTGACACAGCAGTCATTCACTCATTTACTCCTTCAGCCAGGACCACCCCCCAACAAGCCACACGAAATTCCACACTTTTGAGAAATCAGCCACCCCAGGTTCTACACAGGAGCCTTGGGTGGTGATGTCGCCTTTTCAAGCTTCGAATCGGTGAAGAATTAGCAGACATATCGCAGCCATGCCCATGTTCCAGGACCACCTGGACGGGGAAAACCCCAGGTCGGCCACCCCCGATGCCCCCTCCCAACCGATACCGATTCAGATACCCTCCCCTTCCTCTCCTCTCATCCGAAAGTTGTCAGAGGAGAGTATTCGGACTGAGCTGTGTGAAGGTCCTGTGCCGGACAGCCCAGCTCCCAGGACCCCAGAACGGGATATCTCCACCGCGACATCGGATCGAGCAGAGCTGATTGAGCGCCTTAAGAGGGGGGAGAGCCCGACTTGGATACCGAATCGACATGTAAGTCACTTTGATCTAGCTGACAAGACTCCTGAACGGGCCAATTTCTCACAAACGGGACAGCTCGAATCGTTATTTCACCGAAACGGCTCGCTTTCCCCTTCGAGGAGTCCACGACCGCGCTCCGAGAACTCCCCTACCCTTCTACCACCAGCTACGATAACGAGCGACAGTCCTGAGGCAAAGTCGGAACAGAAAGAGGCAGACGAGAGACTTGAGGATGGGTTGAACATCGAGCGGCCAAGATCGGCCCTCCACAGCGGCGACTTTACGCAGCACGAGGCAGCTCGTGAGAGGGAACCCTCCGAGGAGAGGAGCCGAGAGCATGATCCAGAACATTACCGCCCAGTCCGCCACTCCTGGCTCGCCACTTCACCGCCTCGAGATTTCACCCCGTATCACTTTGAGAGGAGGCAACGAGGTGTCATCCCAAGATCCGACGATGTCAGGTCTGCACTGTCGTCTCTGTCCTCGTCACTGTCCTCGAGCTTCGTCTACAAGCCGCCGACGAGTCCGCTCGTACAGTCCGAGAGCAATGACGATCTCGACTTATCTCTTCCTATGAACAACATTGATATCACCTCAAGTAGCCCGTCCAGGAATGCACGGCGACACACTCTAAATTTCTCCCAGCATCCGCAGTACACCCCTGCGGGGTTGCAGAGAACACCGTCATTGCAGCGCGAGTCAACTTATCCATACCAGGCTCATCAGCCCCGGAGGTCGCTGACCTCCACACCAAATTTCTCGCCCATAGGGAGCTCTCCTCAAACCCCTGCATTTTTGCGGTCGAGACGGCCGTCTTACAGCTCCGACGTATCGCCAATTCAGCATGCATCAATGGTGGGTTCATACGAAGAGAGTATTCTCCGGGGCCGCATGTCGACCAACCCCTCAAAACCACTGGAATTTCTCGCCCAGATTGGAGTGTTGGGCCTGGGCAAATGCAAGGCTAGCCTAAGATGCCCTGCCCATGTGACACTTCCCTTCTCTGCTGTCTTCTACAGCTATGCCAGTACTCCTCAGAGCCGATCCAAGAGTGACGATGGTCCCAGTCCATATGTCGGCCAGATAGATCTGGAGAACGGCCTATCCAACCAGGAGGAGGATGCGCGAAGCAAGAGGAAGATGCAGAACAGATACCCTGAAAGGCGACCGACGGACGATGACATCGACATGATCGGCCTCCCCAGTCAGACTCCTACTATAGATGCTCGCAAAGCCGCAAGGCAAAGACGGCAGTCTACATCCCCAAGGGCTCCTCCTGGTGGAAGCTACCGCATTCCTGAAAAGGGTCAACTTCAAATCATTATTAAAAATCAGAACAAGACCGCTGTTAAGCTGTTCCTAATCCCGTACGACCTCGCGGGTATGGAGCCAGGCACAAAGACATTCATCCGGCAACGCAGCTACTCGGCTGGGCCAATAATAGACAACGTGCCAACTCTTCAGGATGCCAGCGCCGACAGGCAGATTCTGCGCTATCTGGTACACCTGCACATCTGCTGCCCGTCGCGCGGCCGCTACTACCTCTACAAGAGCATCCGCGTCGTCTTCGCGAACCGCGTCCCCGACGGGAAGGAGAAGCTCCGGAACGAAGTGACCTTCCCCGAGCCGCGGTTCACCGCCTACAAGCCCATCCGCGTGATGCACCCGCCCATCTCGCTGGCCACGGGGCCCGGCGCGATGCTCACCGCCGAGAAGGCCTACCGCCGGCGCAGCTCGGGCTTCTCGTTCGGCGGCAAGCTCGACCAGAACTTCGACGCGGAGCTGCCTCTGCCGCCCTTCTCGATGCACTCGCGCTCCTCCTCGACGAGCCACCAGGGGTCGGCGTCTGCTGCTGCTGCTGCTGGCGCCGCGGCGTTCAGCTTCGCCGGGCACAATACCCCGGTCGACCCCGTCCCCTTCAGGCTCCCGCCCGCGCGGAAGCCGCCCAGTGACGTCAGCGAGGGCAGCGAGACGACCGCCACGCAGATGCAGTCGCCGACGTCCTCCAAGGCGAGCCGCCCGTCGACGCAGGGGTCTGCCGACGGCTCGGGCTCGGGCGCGGGCGCGGCGGCCGCCTGGCAGGGGATGGACGGTATTGACAGGCGCATCGCGCGGTACGACAAGCTCAGCAAGGGCGATGTTGGATACGGCGGCAATGCGTTTGCGCCGATGGTCAGCGGCAGTCCTGGCGCGGCGGAGGGCCTCCTGTCACAGAGGCTGCGGTCGCTGGGCGTTCAGGGGCAAGGACAGGACGGTGTCGATGGCCAGAATAGCGCCGACAGGGCACAAGAGTGAGCATGCTATATTTGTTGGTGGCCTCTCTCCCCCATTTTCATTTTTACCCTTCATTCGATCTGCATAGAGAGGCCTGTCTGGATTCATTTTGTTCATAGGATAGGACAGGACAGGTATTCCCCCCCCCACCAACCATAGGCGTCTTTGGGGTTATGGACGAGCGCGGCCGGTATAAGGCACCGTGCTGTGTGTATATTTGTTTCTTAGATAAGTAGGCTTGAAGATAGCCAGTCAATAGAGACAAAAGTCTCACTTCGTGAACGTCCGTTTGCATTGCACTATCGTGAAGACAGACAAGATGTGCAGATTAAAGCGGCGTTTTGGCCCTATCGTCTATATAAGGTACATAACTCATTACTCAGTTGTTTTATACAAGGTTATTGATGATGTACATATATGCAGATGTTTATACACGTCTCCCCTCCTCATTGTTCTTCACCGACCCGGCGCGGCATCTGAGTCGTTGCTAAGCCAGGCAGAATCGTTATCTATCATACTGTGGCGTTTTCGCCTTGCCAGGACGAGCCTCGCCTGAGGACCCGAGCCCCCTGGACAAGAAGTCCTCGTCATCTGCAGAAAGATCGTCGTTCGTAGAAGACCGTTTTGCCTTCTTCTCCATGGGTGCGCCTATTTGTTCATCGGCTGCGGAGAGCTCTTGAAGAATTCGTCGCGGAGGCTCTCTGGGCCGTCCCTGGAGATCGGGCTCCACATTACGAGGTGCGCGGTCGTCCTCGTCCCAGGGCGAGGACCGTCTGCGACTCGCCCTGCCACCCAGGTCGCCGGCGAACTCCGAGAAGATGGTCTCCTCAGCTTCGGAGCCCGTGCGTCTCATGGACTTGATGGCCACCACGGTCCTCGGGCAGTGCTCGTCGATCCCGGAGAGCACGCGGCCGTTCTCCACTGACCACGGCGCCAGCTGCTCGATCTCGCCGTACTCCTTGGCCAGGACGAACATGGTGTGCGCGATGGGCCGGAGGTACTCCCGAGAGCTGCCTATGCGGCGGAGATCCAGAGGCAGTCGGTTCTTGACGCGCTGCTTTCGGCGTGTGAGGTACCAACCCGTCCATCTGGGCATGAGAACCTCCTCGCAGATGTCGAAGGCTTCTCTCCATCGCTTCAGCCTTGCCAGCGCCTGGACGTAGAAGTTCCAATTCTTGTTATCAAGCTTGAAACCCGCCGAGGTCACCATTGACACGAGCTCGATAAGGCCATCGGGGTTTTTCTCCGCTTCGAACATTCGCTGCATCGTCTTGAGAGGATCGACCAGGACGTATTGGTATCTGGGCAGTATACCAGGCTTACCGCCTGGTGGCGTTGCTATTTTGCGCGCCCCATCCCAGATAGCGGTCCAAGTGTCTCGGACTTTGTCAAATTTGTTCTCGCAGAAGTCAGAGTATAGAATGGCGCTCAATAATTCCAAGGGCATATCTGCGGGATCCTCGGACTGAGGAGAAGAGGTGCGATAGAGATCAATGATCTCTTGAACCGTTGTGAAATCTCTCAATTGGGAGAATAGGAAGATCAACAGGGAAGCCTGCTCCGTCCGCGAGGAGTGCGAGACAACATGTCGGTGTGGTGTTGGGCTGGTAGGGGCTATTTCGTCAGCCACCGACTCTGTACGCTGTTTTTCCTCGTCCAAAGACCGTCGAAATTCCTGAAGGGCAAGGTTGAGGCGGTGCTTGGCTTTTTCATCTGCATGATTCGATGGCAAGTGCCGATATTGACCAAGGGCCTCAATGACCCGCAGCAATCGATCAGATGACTCAGGAAACCCCCATTTAGTCAACAGATTGTGCGTGTGAATTGCTCTGTACGGTTCTCCGGTCCTAATGAAAGCTGACATGAGAAGAAGATAGTGATTATATGTCGGTTTAAAAGCATGCTCCCTGGCTGCAACCTGAAGAAGATGAAGAGCGTGATGTGCCTGTCGACAAAAGACCAACGCCTTCAGAAGGCTATCGAATGTCTTGTCGTCGTATGACACTTCCAACTCCGTCATCATATTCAGAAGGCGGTTGACAGTTGTCAGATCTTGCCTCAGCGCATGATGGTGAAGCAGGGTGTTCCACAAAGCCGTATAGTTCCCCTGTACATGTCTCTGCTTCGTCGTCATGACACATATGTTTTCGGCCAACGTAAAAGCATCATTCTGGCAGTATGCTTCTATGACACAATCGACTGTGGTCACAGTGGGCTTGATGCCTTTGTCCTTTGACATGCGATATAGGTCAAGCGTTGTGTCGAGGTCGCCTCGGGAGCCACTCATGCCCATTATTGTGCCAAAGCTGTAATGATCTGGTTTGGTAGACTTGCATAGATCATCAAAAAGATTCAGGGCTCCCTCATAGTCTTGTGTCTTCGCATAAGCGTTGAGCAAAATGTTCCAGCACTCAACAGGAGGTTTTCTGCCGTACAAAGACTTGATCTCGTCAAAAGCTTTGCGAACCTGGCTAATGTCCCCACGGACAGCATGAACGTGCATCAGATACGTGAACGTGTCAGAATACGCCTGGATGACATGTGGATAATGCTGGACATATTCCTTCCACATGCGGTGCACTGACTGAACGTCGCCTCGAGACGCGTAGAAGGCGAGAAATTGCTGGTATCCAAAAACGTCCAGTCTGTCATATCGCTTATACCAGTCCCCGAGAATCATTTCCATGCCTGAGGCATTATTTGGATAATAGACATCTTTGACCATGGCACGTATGATTGGGACTCTAATACGGACGTTGGGCAGTCCCCTATAAACAGTATATGCCTCGGCAGCCAGCTCAAGATCACTTCTGCTAATGCAGAGCGGTATGAAGTCTTCGAAGAGAAGAGGATCCTTGACGCTCTGGAGCAGTGAAAGAGCTTGGTCTGACTGAATCTCGGGTAAAAGTCCTCGTAGCAGAGGGTTGAGAAATGATGTCCGGAGGGCTTCGTGCAGACCTTGAGACCCTGCATGCTCCACACCTTCGCCAGTGAGATCATAAAGCGAGGTCAACTTGTTAGTTATCCCAGGCAAAGTGGCGAATTCCTCAAAAGACGTGGAGTGGAATTTATAGTCAGGTGAAACACTTATGACATTTTGCCAAATGTCGAAGAGCACTTCCCACGACGATGTTCGGAGTGTGTGAAGTACCAAGTAATCGAGACCTTCCTCGGGAATTTTCCCGCGACGAGCTTGCTTTTGTAGAGCCTGCTTGAAAAGAAGGATCGCTTCGGCTTCATGACCCAACCTTAGGCTGGCCTTGATGGCGATGGACACAAGCTTTGGATCCCATTGCAACGGAACCAATTCAGAAAACAGTTCGACAAGTCTAGCAGCCCAGACAGGGCTCCTGGATTGGGCCAGAAACACGATGATCTCAGGCCGTATGCTCGGCCGCAGGTCTGGATTCAACTGATGGTATCCATCCCACACAAGATCGAGGTCGGACTCGGTAGGCTCTTGCAGGTGCAATAATTGGCGAAGCTTCTTAATGACCTGCCTTTCATGTCTCTCTCCACTCTCCGCCTCGTTCGACTTTGTCTCCACCGTATGATCCCCAGCGAATAACGACGTGCCCGAAGCACCAGTATCAGGAATATCCCTTGATGATGACTGATAAACCACGTGGGAAGATGTCCGTGAGCTTTGTGATGTAGCGGCCGAGGTATACAGTCTTGGGGTATGCGTGTGCAGACGATTCTTGGGCCTCTCGTATCGCTCCAATACGGATGGGGACAGCTTCCTAAGCAAAGTGGCAGCTCCATGAGGATACAAGAAGTCGAGCAAAAAGGTTGGCGCAATCACAGATTCGCCCTGAGAATGCGCCGAGGAAGAAAACTCGGGGGCGTCGATACTGACTGGCGAGATGATCTGCCAGACTTTAGAGAGCTCGATGTCAGCGGCGCCATGTTGCCAGAAAGCCGTATGAAGTCTTCGCCGGCTTGTAAACGAATTGGCAGTGGATGTTGAGGGCAGAACTCGTTGGATATTGCATGGCTCCAGAGTAGCTGCCGTCCTCTCAAGCATCGGCATCAGGAAACGGGTTCAACAGCCACGGTCGAATATCACAGATGATCGCGTCGCATTGTAAAGACTAAGGATGATACTACCAACAAAATACGAATCAGTATACATGAACGACTAGCGAGCAATTGTGTAGGAGAGAAGGGGACGAAGTGCTTACAGGACTTATGCTAGGTTTGAAACTCGACATCTAGGGATGGATGATGCGGACACTTGAGAGACGAGAGGAATAATAAGCTGCTGAAATCTTTCCCCGAGGTGGAGAAATCTGAAAAGACAAATGACGACTTGGAGTTGAATGCGTGTGCAATTGCCGGAACCACTTGACTCTTTCTGACTTGCGGTCTGCTGAGGCCTTGTGGTTGGAAGTTGAATTCGCGATGTTAGACCTAAAGACAGACAAATTATTGGAGCTCCAGCTCCCCGAGGTCAGTCAGATCAGGCCATACTAACTGGCACTGGACATTACTGCCCGGAATTTTTTGGCAGGGGACGACAGCCGTAAGAACACTTGATCCGGGCGCCGGCTGACCGCCCGCCAGGTAGGGCCTTGCCACAGCTAGCCCAGCATAACTACAGTGACGTCCCTTATGAAGGATTTATGAAGAGGAGGGGCACCTTGACCAACTGGCAGAGTAACCCCACCAAAATCGGATCGCCAAAATATCGACCACCTAACGAGAAGCCTCGTTGGGTTTGGAGAACACATTTTGCAGTGCCTCCAGACATCAACTAGCCACAGGGTGCAGAAAACGCATCAACCCAGTGTGCCGCGATGGACATCACCAAGTTTGTCGTTTCCTCACGGGAACAGGCACTCCTCTACGGGGATTATGCGACCTACAGGTCGCAGCTCGCCAACCGCCTCCTCAGCTGTCGCAAGAAGCTGCACATTGTGACGAAGAATCGCGGCAAATACAACCCCAAGGTATCAATCACGCCTGAACAGGTCGCTGAGAATCATGCGTGAGTATGCCGTTTTCCTGCATGGAGCCCAGTGCTCTTCTTTGCTAACACTTTACCAGATACGTTGATCTTCTTCTGCTCACATCAGAGCGTGCGTGGGCTCATGCCATGGCGATGAAATCGATACACTCGGCCGATACGAAAGGCATTTCCGGACATACACGCTCTCATATGGTCTCGCGACTTGAGAAGGCCGCAAAGGCAGCAGACAGGCTAGTCGAGGTCCTCTCAGATGGTGCGAGCGGTGCCAGCGAGAAAGATGTCCTCGAGGCCAGGGCATATGCGGCTCTTTTGCGCGGCTCTTCTCTCTTCGAGAAGCAGAGCTGGCAGGCATGCTTGGGGAACTACTCAATCGCGCGTGTCATTTACAGCGCATTGTCATCGTCGACAAAAGGGGACATCTACAAGGATCTCCTCTCCGAGACCATCGACCCTTCCATTCGTTATGCGGCTTATCAATTGAAGACACCGCGGACGCTACCTATCCCGGCGATTGCAAGGCAATCATTTCCGCAAAATGACAAGGCCCTTGTCTCGAGCCTCGAGAAGCTAGATCCAAACATCTTAAAGCAGGCGGATCAAGAAGTGAAGAAAGATGACGCCGCTCCAAAGACGCTGACTTGGAGATCTCGAGAGGTTCATATCGAGGACGCAGCGATTGCACTTGCTTGGGGCTCGGTGGAGGCAGCAAAGGATCAATTATCCGACAAGCTATCTTCTTCATCTACGTGGCAGCCCAAGGATAAGGCTGCCGCTTACGATGATGTCCTTCTTGCCAGCCAGGATGCAGTTGATGCTACAAAGCAAGCTATTGATGAATTGAGGAGTGAGGGCATATCGCAAGGCGACGCGCGCATGCAGAGCCTTCAGATTACCCGAACCGCTGTCAATTATGAGATGATCAGCTACAGAATTGGGCGTAACCGGGTGCTTGCTGGTGATAGAGATGGTGCGCTGGTAGAGTTTGGGCCCAGTTCGAAGAAGAGGAAGCTCAAAGAAGAGTCTGTAGCAGTGCCAACAAAAGAACAGGCCCCTGGTCGTCAGGTTGCAAGGCTGAAAGAGAAGGTTGTCCTCTATGACGGCACACTGCAAAGCCTAGAGTCTATCAAGGAGCTCCCGGGTGTCGCTGCGGATGAGGAACTATCGGGACAGTTGGATGCCGCCTTCAAATATTTTAACGCTCTGAAGTATGTCTTGCTCTCTGCCGCTCCTCCCTACGTCACGACTTTACTAACTTTCTTCAGGTGTTTGGCTCTTGCTCGATCACACACACTGACTGGACATCCTACCAATGCGTTGGCTCTCATTAAATATGCATTTGAGCAGTGCGAGTCTGCTATGCCGGTTTTCACAAAAGCAAGCAAGCAGAATGAAACGTCAATCCGAAGTCTTGACGTGACCCAGGATGATGCTAAATTTGTCTATCAACTCCTTCAAGGCGAGCTGCAGCGCAGCCGTGCATTGGTCGAGATTGCAAGTCTTCGAAAGCAGAACGATAGCAATGCGTCTAAGCCACGGGCATACTCATTGATCGATAGATTGAACGAGTACCCCAGTGGCGGCGTCGACCTGGAGAATATTCTCGTGTACCCCCCGAAAATCGAGACAGTCCCTGTCAAGCCACTTTTCCTCGATGTAGCCTGGAACTACATCGGATACCCTGACAATGGGGCACCAGCCGCTGGCGCAACTAAGCAGAAGACCGCAGAGCAGCCGTCAGAGTCAGATAAACAGCCACAGAAGAGAGGCTGGTTTGGGTTTGGACGATGAGGGCCGCCTGACAAGTGTGACAGGTGTGCGGGCCCGTCTACTATACGCGCTATAGTACGAGAGTTCGCGTGCCGTAGTTACTATGAATGGAATTAAGGTTGGGAATGCTTCATGCTTACCCCTTTTTGGAATGATGCCTCCGTGACTTTGTCTGGAATGTATCATTAGTCCTCGCTCGACGCCCCCCGTTGTGACTGGAATGCTGGTGGAATGCAAGTGAGGCGATTTTGCTGTACACTGTAAAATCGATTTACCTCGCGACTTTGAAATGGAAATCAAATCATGAATCTTGTTGTAATCTCTAACGCTAAGGGCTCTGCGTTCTCAAGTGTTCGTGACACTCAACCGCCATCACATGTCGTTCCGAATAAGATGATGGACGAGGAGTCGGAGAAGCTGATTCCCCAGCCCACCGCGGCGAAGAGAACAGTGAGCTTCCGCGCGTTCATTGCGACGATTGCCCTATTCTCGGTCGTTGTGACGGCCCTATGTCTGGGCTTTGGCCTGACTCTTCGTCATGAAGCCGCGATCCGTCGCCCTGCAGCCGAGGTTGCCTCCGCCAGCTCATACGGCCTTCCAGACAGCCTCGAAACAGTCCATATAGAGCAACTAATAAATCCAGACGAGCTGGACTTACGAACTAATTTCAGCGTCACCAGCGAGACGACCACGCGAGAGTATGAATTCAATATCAGCCTCGCTTCCGCTGCCCCTGATGGGTTCTATAAGCCGATGATCCTAATAAATGGGCAGTCGCCAGGACCACTTATAGAAGCAAACATAGGCGACACAATAAGGGTAGACAATCATGGCCCTTAACTATCTCTCTCTCTTGCTAAGTAGAAACTTCATAATTTAGGTCGTGGTCAATAATCACATGCCAAATACAAGTACCAGCATCCATTGGCACGGTATCGACCAACATAACACGACATGGATGGACGGAGTCTCGGCTGTCTCCCAATGCGCAATTCCAGCGATGCAGAGCTTTACTTACGAGTTTCGCGTTGACGACCAACGAGGGACGTTTTGGTATCATGCGCACACGTCGATACAATACACCGACGGACTGTACGGGCCCATTGTGAGCAGCCTATGTGTATAGTCTTGGACAAGGACTAATCACCACAGATCATTCACGACCCTGATGAGAAGGTCCCGGCGACCGACGATGAGAAGATCGTTTTCCTCGGTGATCATTACCATACATATGGCGCAGTTGTGAGTGATACTCAATCCTACTTATCTTGAGTTCTGCATGACTGACCAAGGGGGCATATCAGTTGGTAGAAAGTTACCTTGGGGCAGGCTCCCAGTGGAGTCCTGACGAAGCAGGCGTCGAGCCTCTGCCCGACAACTTTCTCATGAACGGGCAGCACACGTACGACTGCTCCGTCGTCTCCAGCACCTTCTCGTCCGAGGTGTACGACAACGCCGGCACATGCACCGGCGGCCAGCTGTATTCGACGAGCATCCGGCCCAACTCGAGTGTCCGGCTCCGCCTGATCAACCACAGCTCGTTTATGTCTTTCTGGTTCAGCATTGACAATCATACGATGGAGATTGTTGAGATCGACGGCATTGAGGTGGAGCCTATCGCAAGCAGGGGCGTCTATGTGAACATCGGGCAGCGATACTCTGTGATTGTGAATGCGAACCAGACCAGCGGGAACTATTATATGCGAGCGACCCTCCCGCAGACGTGCTTCACTCCGTTCTGTCCCTACACCAGCACGGGACTCGTTAGTATCGATTACCAGGTGAAGGGGGTTCTCTCGTACGAAGGAGTCAGTATCAAAGATGAGCCAATTGGTTTTGTTGGAAACACGAGCAATCCATTTGGGGTCGACACCAACCTGGTTCGTGGCGATGTCTGGGAGGGCTGCGACGACATGCCGTTCGATATGCCCATCCCCATGAGAAAGGAGGCAGCCATCGATGTGAGCCCGAATAACCAGCACTCGGTGATATTCCAATTTCGCCAGGCGGGCGAAGTCAATAGAATTTTCATCAACCGTGTAAGTTCTCGTTGCGACAAGCGATATGATCTGCTGAGGATGAACGGCTAACATACGGCCTCGCGATTTCCAGACGTCTTGGAGTCCGTACCGTGATGATGCGCAATTATGGCAAGCATTGGACCAGAACTTTACCGTGGGACAGGGGGGCTCTTATAATAGTTGGGACTTCCGGCTTGACCAGCAAGTGCTTCTTATCCCTGATGCCAATCAAGGGGTGCAGATTGTCATCAATAGTCTCGACATTATGGAACATCCCTTTCATCTGCAGTACGTACAGCCCTTTGTTTGCTCTTGGAATATAACAACTAACTCTTGATAGTGGTATATATAGTCTTTGGATTATTAAATGAGATGGCTAGCTGACAAGATCAAACAGGTCACAGTTTCCAGGTCGTTGGCTGGGGTTCGGGCCAGTACGCCGACGGCAACTCCACAACCTGGAATCTCGAGAATCCCATGCGACGAGACACAATTACCATTCCCGCACAGTGGCATATTGTAATTCGATTTGTCGCCGATAACCCGGGGATGTGGGCGTTGCATTGCCATGTGGCATGGCATATGGAAGGTCGGTACAATATCTCTTCTGTTCCGCCGTCATCCCTTGCTAACCTGGACCACACATTTACAGGCGGCATGTTTGTCTCCTTCATTGAGCGGCCAGAAGACATGAAGCGATTGGTCCAAGAAATGGACCCGGAAACGAGAGCATTGTCAGAAGGGTTCTGTGCAAAGAGGCAGTGATGGAGATATGAGTGTACATACCTAGACAAGTGCTGAAGCACAAGCACTCTTTGTGATATTATAATGACCACGGAGGCGCTTTTTTTTTTGAGGGAACGGAGAATATATCTTGACTATTTGAGAATTGACTGGGAGGACATGGGATAATGCTACAACTCAGCATATTAGGCATTCACAAGCAAGATGAAGCGAAATTTTCGAGGGGGGATGTCGCATTATCTAATTTATCACCATTTTACATGTACATGCATGCAGCCAAGATCCGACACCCCCTTGCCATGCCCAGTGTCATTCAGAACCGTTAATGGTCTCGCCACAAACGCAAAAAAAGAGTTTTTGATGCTCAGAACGCCGCTTCCACCCAATTTGCTTATTAGACAGTGATAACAGGGCGTGACCAGCCGAGGGACATGAGGAGTTATGAGTACAGGTAAATACAAGAAAGAGAAGTGAGATCTATGGGCGGTGCTCCACGCTACTACTCAGACACTGTGACAGAAGAAAAATCGGGGTATAAAGTGTGATGTCTGACCAAGAGGGGGTATGTTTATTTGGTCTCGTCCTTCTTCTCGCCCTCAGCCGCGCCCTCGGAGGTAGAGGACTGGCTCTCGCCAGACTCAGCGCGGGCCTTGTGCATCTTGTCGAAGAGGTTCAAGCTGGCAACCTGGAGCTCATCGGTCTTCTCCTTGATCTCGGCGGCGGTGGCGGTACCCTCACCAGCCTGGCTCTTGGAGACGAACTCGCGAAGAGAAGCGATCTTCTCCTTGATCTGATCAGCCTCGGTCTTGTCTAGGCGGTCGGCAAACTCGTTCAGAGCCTTCTCGGTATCGTTGAGTACGCTGTCAGCCCTGTTGGCAGACTCAATGGCAGACTTCCTCTCCTTGTCTTGCTCAGCATACTTCTCGGAATCCTCGACCATCTGCTCGATCTCAGAGTCGGAAAGACCGGATCCGGAAGCAATGGTGATAGACTGGTCCTTGTTGGTGGACTTGTCCTTAGCGTGGACATGGACGATGGAGTCGGCATCGATATCGAAGGTGACCTCGATTTGAGGAACGCCACGGTGAGCAGGGGGGATACCAACCAGCTGGAAGTTACCTAGCAGCTTGTTGTCCTTGACGAGCTCACGCTCACCCTGGTAAACCTTGATCTCGACAGCAGTCTGGAAGTCGGCAGCGGTGGAGAACACCTGGGACTTCTTGGTGGGAATGGTGGTGTTACGGTTGATCAGACGAGTGAAGACACCGCCGAGCGTCTCGATACCGAGCGATAGCGGGGTAACGTCAAGAAGGAGGAGATCCTTGACCTCACCAGACAGGACAGCACCCTGGATAGCAGCACCAATGGCGACAGCCTCATCGGGGTTGACAGACTTAGCGGGGTCACGGCCGAAGATGCTCTTGACGGACTCGGCAACCTTGGGCATACGGGTCATACCACCAACGAGGATAACCTCCTGGATGTCCTTGGCCTGGAGGTTGGCATCCTTGAGGGCCTTGCGGACGGGCTCAATGGTCTTGGTGATGAGAGGGTCGACCATCTTCTCAAGCTGTGCACGGGTCAACTTGAGGTTGATGTGCTTGGGCCCAGAGGCATCGGCAGTAATGAAGGGCAGGTTGATGTCAGTCTGGAGAGAGGATGACAGCTCAATCTTGGCCTTCTCAGCAGCCTCTCGGATTCTCTGAATAGCCATGCGGTCGCCAGACAGATCAAGGCCGGAGGTCTTCTTGAAGTCTTGGACCATGTGGCGGACTAGGTGGATATCGAAATCCTCACCTCCCAAGTGGGTGTCACCGTTGGTAGACTTGACCTCGAACACGCCGTTCTGAATCTCCAGAACGGAGATATCGAAGGTACCACCACCGAGATCGTAGACAGCGACAACACGGTCAGCCTCCTTCTCGAGACCGTAGGCGAGAGCAGCAGCGGTAGGCTCGTTGACCACTCGCAGGACGTTCAGACCAGAAATCTGACCAGCATCCTTGGTGGCCTGACGCTGCGAGTCGTTGAAGTAGGCAGGGACGGTGACGACGGCGTTCTTGACGGGTTTGCTCAGGTAAGCCTCGGCAGTCTCCTTCATCTTGTTTAGGACGAAACCACCGATCTGTGACGGAGAGTACTTCTGGCCGCGAGCCTCAACCCAGGCATCGCCGTTGGTGTGCTGGACGATCTTGTAAGGGACCTCCTTGATATCTCTCTGGACCTCGGGATCGGTGAACTTGCGACCGATCAATCGCTTGGTGGCAAAGAGGGTGTTCTCGGGGTTGACAACGGCCTGGCGCTTGGCGGCGACACCGACCAGACGCTCACCGTCCTCGGCGAATGCTACTACTGACGGGGTTGTCCTGGCACCTAAGGCAGGTCAGCTATGCGACACGAGACGATGCGCAGCGAGATCGATGTAGCTCACCTTCTGAGTTCTCGATAATCTTGGGGACCTTGCCCTCCATGATGGCAACGGCTGAGTTGGTGGTACCTGGCGAAGAATAGATGTTAGTCATGGCCGAATATGCCGAGGGTTCGCGATGGCGATGGCGACGGCGATGGCAACTTACCCAGATCGATACCAATCACTGAACCCTTGACCTTCTCATCTGTAGACTGGAATCGGGCAAAGGCTGGCACAGCGTTCTTGCGCAGAACGCTGGAGCGAGCAGCCGCCGAGGTAGCTCGGGGCAGCTTCAGTGAGATGTTAGCCGAGATAGCTCGAGCAGTGGCAAAGCGACCAACGACGGGTGAGGTGAGAGAAGGACTTACAGCTCTGGAGAACCGTGAGGCGAGCATTGTGAATGTGATTGTGACTCGGTCTACAAGAAGGCACTACAAAGAACCAAGCTCGAGAGCGAAAGGGATTATAGTATTGATGGGGGAGGGTGGTGATGGTGGTGATAGGAGAGAGGTATGAAGAGAAGGAAAAAAGCTTTAGTTTTTCTATGGAGAAAAAAATATTAAGCAGTAGCAGTAGCCGATGATGCCTCCTCATGGAAGGCCGGCGAAACGCAGCAACGCGCCTAGCGCTGGCTGGGGGTCCCGGGAAGAAAAGTGGCCCGTGCACTGCCTCCATCCTACCTATCCTTTCCTTCTCTTCCCCTTCTCGCCCTTACGTTCCCCTTGTCCAGCCGAATTGACCCGCCATTCGCCATTCGGAGCATGAAATTTTCCTGGGCCTGGCTGTCAATGTCATGCTCTTCCACTACGCTGCACAGCATACTTATTAGTAGACTCCACTACCGGTACCTAGGTAGGTGCCTACAACGCCGGGCATGCTCATCTACAGCGATGGGGCGGCATTCGGAAAAGCCTAGGCGCCTTTTACTGGCCTCCTCTGCAGATGTTTTGTTGTCTTGGATATCTAGGCAGTTGGTCCAATATCTCGTACATAGTAGGCTGGGTAGAGAAGAGCTCACAATCAAAGCTTACGGGTATCAGCTGGCAACACTGAACTGAGATCAATCCGATCAAGCAGGCACAATAAGGCCAACAGCTCGACTACGGTACCCCATTGCTACACATGATTGCCAGGATACCTACCTAGGTAGATAGGCCTACCTAAGCAAGGCCGATGGGATGCATGCAGAGCTATATACCGTAGTTATGGTGTGGTAGGACTCCCGTCTCCAGATAACGCAAACAGGTAGGTAGTACGCAAGGTACCTTACATACTTATCTATCCATCTGCCCTTTCCATGCAGGCGTTATATTGAGTCTGAATTGCGCAAATTGCCGCCATGTTGGCGGACGGACTTCCGATATCCTTTTGCGGCCTCGCCTTGTTATTTCGAGATTCGTCTACAGGCCTGGACCTCTCGCTGTTAGTTGCTATCAGGCGCTAAGGACAAGTACCGTAGAACAAAAAAGGTATCTAGGTATCTTCACTTAGGAACACACGTAATCTTACTGGCTGGCCGGGGTATCTGTACTTGATTGATGCGCAGAAAGTGGCCATCCATCCTCCGGGCGACCGAAGGTTTTGAATGCGCCCAGCTGGCGGGCACCTCCAGTCACTGTCACTTAATATGGAATGAACCTATCTGAACGTCATCGCCTCACGACCGTCTGTCTCTTCAAAAGAAAGACACAATCACCTCGACCTCCTCACCTTCTCATCACGTATCACATAAGCTCTGCCTCAGTCGACTCTCATCACAGTATCAGAGCTGCACTGCGCGTAGCACAGCGATCCGACTGCCGTTCCTCCCCCACCTCCATTCGAACAGAGAGCCCGTTTGCCGTCAACATCCCGACCCTGGCTCCTTCATGAGTCGACAGCCTTAATCCTCTCCGGCGGCACAATGGCCGTCAAGGACGATACCACGTATGTCATTCCCGAGTTTAACACTGCCCACGCTTCTTGCTCCTGCGCCAGCCTCCGCTTTTGACTCTTCGTCTCGATGATGATGCTAACGAGGCTCCGCAATCAGATATCATCCGACCGACGCCCTCATCCTCTCGCAACCGCGACGGCATTACAGAACCACAGTCCATCCTCTGTATGTCGACCGATCACGTATCCTTGGTGGGGATGCTTGACTTTGAACCTGTTGTGCTAAACTTGTCCGTAGACATTGGCAACTGCGCTCCCAGATCGGCGTCGAGAAAGGCGCCGTTTATTTTCCCGGCGGCAACGCGAATCTGCAAGTCCAGAGACTCGACACAACCACACGCGAGAGCGAGACAATCAAGATCCTTACGTTCTCGCCGAGGTGTCTGGAAGTTAAGAATGGATGGCTCTGCTGTGGAGGCGAGACTGGCGAGTTCGCTGCCATTCCTCTCACCGGAGCGAATGAGAACAACGATTCCGATTTACGACTAGACCTCGATGCAGATGCGCGGCTGCCTTTGAATCTGGATTCGGCCCACCAAGATGACTACATCCTCTCTTTACTTGCCCGTCGATCTTCTACTCGACCCCGAAGTATTGCAGTGCAGTCGAAGTCGTTTGGGAAGGAACGCGTGAACTGTATCACACTATGGTTTCCCGGTGCAGACATGTCGCCTTACGAAGGCGCATACTCACAGCCTGTCGCTGTTCTGGCAAATAACGACAAGCACGTTATTACGGTCAATCTACAAGATATGGAGAGCGTCGACGAACTATCCTACCCTGACTGCGTTAACCGAGCGGTGATATCTCCTGACGGCAGGCTCCTCGTTGCGATCAGTGACGACCCGTACTTGTACATTCACGGACGAACCGAGAAGCACGCTGGCAGTAGCAGCTTATTCCGGAATAGGGACAGGCCGGAGTATGAGTGGAAGGCGGCCGGCAGAATACACTTGAAGAGCCAGCGTACCGACGATGATTCCGATAATAGGGGCAGCTTCGCCGCCTGCTTTTCTAATACGGGCAGATATCTGGCTGTTGGCACACAGTACGGAGTCATATCCATATTCAACACCAGTGCGTTCCTGGAACCAGGTACTGACCCTCTCATCACCTCCTTCACATCTTCACGACCCAACTCTGTCCCTGGTGCTGTAAGGGATATGGCGTTCTGTCCTGGCCCTTTTGATCTGCTTGCGTGGACAGAAGATAGGGGCCGGGTGGGTGTTGCGGACATTCGAAGCAATTATGTCGCCCAGCAGATTCTTCATCTCGACACTCACGACGAGTATGATCATATCATCATCACCGACCGGGGTTCAATCGACCCTCGCCTCTTGGAGGGCCGCAACGATCGCGGGGATGGACCAACTTCGAGCTGGGGTCTTGGTATCAATAATCTGAACTTGTCAGATAGTCGTTCGTCCAGCAGTCGTCGTGCAGCAACGAGATTGGATGATCGTTATCAAGAGCCATTCACATCAGCCGAGACAATGGTCTTAGATGCTATTCAAGCTCACCGGAGGCAACGAGAGTTGAGAGAATTGAGGGAGCAAAGGGAACAACAAGCCGCTAGTCAGGGATCCGTCACTCGAGTAGCCAGCAGCTCATTCCGTGATCGCCCTCCGAGAGCCTACGACGAACCCAGTACAAGGGCAACCCGGGAGACTACCAGGGAACGAAGCTCTAGTGTTACTCGAGCCCTTGGTGACTTCGTGGATAGTATACGGGATCATAATCGCACTCGAGACTACCCGGAAAGCCTTCGTATACATTCGCGCACCGGTGAGGAAAGCCAGCGCCGACGTTCCGCCATCCCCCCGAGTGCTCGGCGTAACAATGGCCCCCGTGCTGCGGAGATTATACGGGCTGCAGAAACCGAGGCTTCAAATGCTCGGGAGAGAATGGCGCAGCTGCAGCGCATCTATGGCAACCCGTCTTTGACGAGCGGCGGCTGGGCCGATCTCGAAGCATTGTACAACATTTCGGTCGAAGGCCACAACGGTACCAATGAGAGCGATCCGGTCGCCAGCCGCCAAAGAGACCAGGCCGCGCTCTTTGGCTCATTGCTGAGTGGCGTTCCAACTCGTGACTGGGATGAAGGCCCGATCCGTCGAGCGAACGCGACTTACTACACTCGAGGAGATACTCCGCCTAAACCTGATGAGACTGCCGGGCTTGCTTGGAGCGAAGACGGCAGGATTCTGTATGTACCTACTCTGGGCCCAATATCTTGTTCTCGTTTTCTGACCACTTTGCAGCTATATCGGTGCCGAGAATGGCATATATGAGTTCCATGTGGACATTCTTAGCCGAAAACTGTTCCCCAGCATGACAATGCGTTGATCACAGGCCCTCCACAGTTAAGTCCTCAGCTCTCGGGTTATAAGGAAGTAGGAGGCTTCTCATCCATAAGTGAGCAACGAGAAATTGCATTTTTTGGCAGGTGACTTTTAATTATTGCGTGTACCGGCACATCTGGTGTTTTCGGAGTTTGGGAAGTCCGCATGATATCTGCACCTCAAGGTGAATCTGGCTTTTTGGGAAAAGCATGCCTTTGCTTGTTGATGTCTGTACATACCCGTACGAAAGTTGTCTGTCTTGCGATGAGTCCGGTTTCTAACCTTCTTTCTGGTTTGCCTCTAATTTGGAATGGTGGGCTCACGCCATACATGAAACTCGGGACTTTGGTATTGCTTGAGAGAGATAGTATTATGTACTATGTGTACAAGAGCTTCTTCACCATTTCGCCTATTGCCAGACTGCTCGTGAGACCAGGGCTCTCAATGCCCAGGAGGTTCACCCAGCCTTCGTAGCCTTCTTCTTTTCTGATGATGAAATCCATGAATGGCTTCTTGCCATCTGCAACGGACGCTAGCTTCCCAAGTTTGGGTCGGATGCCGGCGTAGTCTGGTGTGAGATTTGCCTCGTCTACCCCTGGCAGATACTTCTTTATCTCCTGGATCGCCTCCGGTAACCTCGCAGTATTCACTGCCAGATCGTCCGGCGAGTCGACCCACTCGACATCAGGGCCGAACTTTATGCGGCCTCCCATATCGAGTGTGAGATGCGTACCAAGCCCGCCGAGTCCCGGCTCAGGGGCAGGATAGACCAATGTGCTTACCTTGGGGCTTGATCCTGAATAGGAAAAGTAGTTTCCCTTGGCGTAGAACATCTGCTTCTTCCGCTCCTCGGGCACGATCATGTTGTGAATGTCCACGGCGCCCAGCCCAGCCGCATTGACCAGCACCTCCGCCGTGATGGTCGACTCCTCGCCCGTCTCGCCGTCCCGCACGCTCACCTCCCAGCCCTCGCTCCCGGGCCTGCTGGACCCCGAAGAGCCCAGGGGCGTCACCGCCGAAACCGCACTGCCGAGCGCCAGCGTGCCGCCCGCGTCCTCGAAGTGGCCCAGCAGCGTGATCATCAGCGAATGCGAGTCGACGATGCCGGTAGTCGGGCTCTCCAGCACGCCCGCCTCGGCGCGGACGTCGGGCTCGCGGCGGCGGCGCTCGTCCTCGGGGACCCAGCGCACGCGGACGCCGAGGTCGCCGGCGCAGACGTCGTGGATGTGCTGCAGGGCGGCGCGCTGCGCGGGCGTCTGCGCGACGATCCACTTGCCGGTGCGCCGGTGCGGCACGGCGTGGCGCGCGCAGAAGTCGTACAGCCTGGTCTTGCCGTCGATGCAGAGCCGCGTCTTGAGCGACCCCGGCGCGTAGTAGATGCCCGCGTGGATGACCTCGCTGTTGCGCGCCGAGGTCTCTGTGCCTACGGCGCCGTGCCGCTCCAGCAGCAGGGTGGAGGCGCCAGGCTGCGAGATGGCGAGCTCGCGCGCCACGGCTAGGCCGACTACGCCGCCTCCGATTACCTGTGTAGGTTGTTAGTGTTGCGATTGGTTATAAGTTGGAGGCAACAGATCATGAAGGGGAAGGTGGGAGGCGTGTAAGTCAGATAGATGGTCTACTCACCACATGAGTGAAGTCAGCTTCTCGCGGAGCAGAGCTGCTGAAGAGCCTGGAGTTTCTGGACCAATTGGCAGCAAGCCGTCTCTTCACTACGCCCGTGAGCATTTTCTTTGGGAGTCTACTCCAAGCTGAGTGCTTCGCCAGACCTCATGCTGCTATTTATGATAACTTGAGGAGTTCCGATAACGGTGCGGACGACGAGGCTAGACTGAAATGACTCAATGACGCAGGGTTCATGCAAGGCTGACAACGTCCTAGGTAGTACCGAACGGTTCCGAAAGACACTTCGCAAAGAGTGTAGTCAATGGTATTTTGTTCAGTCGTTGTGTGAACGGTGGGAGTTATTAGGTATCAGTTAAGTATCAGTTAGAAGTCTGGTTGGGTTGACAAGTCAACAATTACTTAATTATGTACCGTACCTGTAGCCACTCTTAGCGTCAACAGACTACCGGACATTCAAAAAGACACTATTCATCCCTCATAGAGGCAGGACATGTTTATAGATATTCTGATAGGAGCGACAATGCAAATTAAGTATCCTACAAGCAGTTTTGTATTCTGTCCATACTCTGCCGTTCATTCGTTAATTCTCCGGAATTACGCACGAAAACTGCTGTACCTCGCAACTGGCAATCAGCCCTGAAAATATAGTACAGGTTGATGGGCGATTCCTCGAAGCAAACACTACCTTCAACGCCGAACCAATGCATTGAATCATCAGTCATGAGAGAAACCCGCCTGAGGTTCAATCATCCTTTGATGTATCCGTGACTACAGGCAGAGTGACGGCAGCCCCGGCACCCGGCGTTTGTGTTGCGGGAGACGGATTGTCCTCCGAGATAGACCGCGAGTTGGTTAAATGGGAGTGCGTCACAGGTTCGTGAGTGACAGCTGATGTGCCTCCAGTGTTGAGATCAGCAAGCTGTCTTTCTGTAATACGTGTTAGTAGACATTCAACGACGGTCGACAAGTAACACCTTACCTAGGTCACGAATTCTATGCCGTAGCATTTGATTCTCCCTGGTAAGCATCTGGGTCTCGGCTTGGTAGAAAGCACTCTCGTCACGACCGCCGAGAACCCATGGTTCTCCACTCTCCTGGCTGATTGATGTAGAGCGCAATCTAGGCGAAGCTCCACGACTCGGGGTTCTAGACCGACGTTGGAGATCGGCGCGGGCAATATCGAAGGAGCTGCGGGGATGGTGAGGGAAACCGGGCGATCGAGGGAGAGAGCCCGAAGAGGGGTGAGCTGGGAGAGAAGACTGAGGAGCAGAAATAGGTTGCGGATTGGAGTGGGTGACGGCGGGCGTTAGGGCAGGAGTAGATCTCTCGGAAGTGTCCTCTCCGATCGCAGACTCTCGTCCTTGAGAGGACTGCAGCTGCTGAAGCTGAAGCTGCTGTTGACGGATCATGTGGAGGAGGCGGTTCTATCGTAACAGCGCAAATTAGCCAAAGAACCGGATTGAAAAGGAGATGCGATGACATACAACTTGAGCCTCCTGCTCTGCCTCAAGCTCCTGATGGAGCTCGCCGAGGCTCGGCGCTCTGTTATGGTGAGGATCGCCACCGACGAGAAGCGGAGAGCTTGAGATGGCATGGGGGCTGGCCGTTCCAAACGGAGCCTGAGGTCCTTCGCCGGCAACCATCTCGCCAGGCCCAGGGACGCTTGGATCGTTCATTTGTAGGTTCATGAGGACTTGGGACCGTCTTCGGCCGGCGTTGGGCGACTGTCGGCTACGGGACAAGGAGCTGCTTGAGGATCCTAGGTTCTGAGTCAGCTGCGTGTCACTTGAAGGTGGGTAGGCATCGATAGGCAGAGGGGAGATACGCACTTCTCACAGGCTCTTGCTGGTAGCCAGCATTCAACGTCGCTGCTGCTTGCAGAGAGATGGAGGCAGATCTGCTTGGAGACTGTGAGGGCGAGGCGGCACCTCCAGCACGGGGGATGCCAGACTCGCTGCCGTTAGACATTGTGCGAGAGAAGGATGCGGGTGAGGATGGAGGAAGAGAGTTGAGGTCGGGAGCCATCGTGGCCAAAGGGACGAGGCAGAGCTTGACGAGCCTGAACTTAATAACGGCAAGGAAAGGTCGACTTGCTTCCTCAGGCTACAATAGGTAGAGGTGAACGAGGTATAGGTGTGTGTGTCGGAGTCGGCGTCGCCAGCAGGAGCCGTAGTCACCAGTAGAACATGAGGTGCTCTAGTGCTCTGGTGCTGTAGGTAGGTACCTGAGTGGTAGAGCTAGAACAGCTTCTGCTCGTCGTGGTGGCGGCGGGGTGACATGGCGGGGACCACAAAAGATGCTGCGTCACAAGCTCCCGCAGCGCCTCATTGATAGCAAGCTAACATTAGCGCTTCTGGCAACCGCAAAATGTCCTGGGCAAGTCTCATCCCCACACCTCTGAGAAACTCGTCCACCTGAGAAAGCTATGCTTCTTGCCTTTTTCGATGATGCTCAAAATCACAAGCATTGTTCAAATGCTCAAAGGATATGCGAATATGACGACATGTTCTACAGCCACTCAATGTTGACATATCATAGAATGTTCGCAGAGTTAGTGCAATAAGCTACACCTGGAGAACCAGGGGCGGTGATCACAAGGGCTCTGACTGAGTCGCATTGCCAGGTGATCGAGATTTGTGGAGGGCCAGCACCCGTCCTTGAGGAAAGCATTGGTGTAGGTATTCCTAGCCAGAGTCGATCCCCAATCCCCGGGTTGATCTCTGGCCACTCGGCTGCAAGTTGCAGGCCTGGAAAGTCTTGCAATTGACAATAGGAGTATTGTCAACAATTACTGGCCTGATCCTACATGCCATGACGTCGCTTTGAAGGTATTCTCTCCGATACTTGACTTGTGAGCGATCATGTATCGATCAATCCAAAGTCTTCGTCAGCGGCATGGTAAAGGACTAAACTGGGCTTTACTGTTGTAAAATTACTCTGCAATACTGTATCCTAAATCTCTACAAATGGGTAGTTCATACCAGCCTCGGGAGCAGCTGTCCCAATTTACTCACGAATAGACCAAGTTATGAGTGTATACGGACGGACCTATGTCTTGCCACTTACGAGACAAGAGTCATCTGCTCTAGGCACTGGCATTTTTATGACGAAAAAACGTTCAAGCCATAGCCAGCTCGATGCGAATGACGAGTAGTCTTGGAGCCTGAACTCATTGCCAAACAGGTTGCTACGGGACCGCGGCAGGGGAGGCAAACCAAAGCTCCTGACCGGAAGCCGGATTGTGGGTCATCGGCCGCGGGCCTCATCCCGTAGTCGAGGCTCGTGATGGGCGAATTTCACAGGCTGCTCACCTTGGCTTGAGCGCAACAGACCATGCTGGGTAATTAGAAAGTTGTCATTCTCCGATTCTTTCCATTTTACCAAACATAATAATAGCCCCGGTGTTTGGTGTTGCCGTATTAGAAAGGCTGGGCTGATGATGTTTCGTCGGTTGTTGCCTCGATGGCGTGGTCGACGGCTGCCGAGCCGGTATTCATGTCACGCGGCCAGCCTCTATGTTTGTCAGCGCCTTGCGACGGGCTCAGACGGCGTTCCGCATCTGCGAGATCCCCATGCTGCCACTTTTGATCTCGCATTGTGAGTTTGTCGTGTGTGAAGTGTCGTTGGCTTCAACCAGTTCGTCTCTACTGTGGCTTCTTCGGTCTATTCATACGTCTTATCAAATCGCTTATACGTAGAGTCTAGTTGCGAGCAAACTAACAAATCGGTAGCTTTGTGGCTTTGGTGGTACTGGCTGGCAAGGCCTGGACCGCTGGTCTTTCTTTATGTAGTTTGGAAATAGTTGCGAACTGCTGATTGATAGTCCGTTGTAATGGTCATCTATATGGCTAGCTTATCAAGATCACATACCTGTCATCAATCGAATCAGATATCAGCTTAGGCCTCGATTCAACTACATCGAGTCCTAGAATACGCACTCTACACATGAGAGCAAATTGTAAAGTCCTTTGACTATAGCTAATAGTTTATACGCAGACCTATTGCCTCGTAGTGCTTGGCTCAAGACAAACCTGAATCTCAGCTGCGAAAGATAAGGTACTGACTCTCCGTATAGTAATATCGACAGGTCTGGATGTTGTAAGTCGGGTATCCAGAATGGATCGGGCTGCAAGATCCAGGAGAACTGCAACTCGGAGGGCCACCCGAGATTGGTCCAGAGCAGCCTGACAATGGCGCTACTGCAGGTACGACAAGCGTGGGTTCCCAACGATCCTGGCAGCGTGGGGTTCCGAAAAGGCCTCAAGAGGGAGGGGGCAAGAGAAAACTTGCGTACGCAGTAGAGAATGAGTTGGATACTAGACTGGAACAATGGAAGACTCCTGACTTTCGGGGAGCGACTTTTCGTATCTATTCTCGACTTAATAGTCAAGCCAGTACAGTTTAGCTGTCATAGCACATTCAGTTTCTCCCCGATCAGAAGAGCCCTGCATGTTGTATCCAAAAGCATTGTCTCCTGCGCGCATCGTCGCACGACAGCAATAAATCGTCCATGCCGTGCAGCATAGAGCAGGTGCCAGAGCGTATCGACAAGCGAGAAGACGCTCATTCTTCTCTTGTCGTCTCAAAGGCGTGCTTGGCGGGACGCTGCTGGGCGCCGCCCGCCCACGAAGAGGCTTACGCCGATCGGCATCGAGACGCGCCTGGGAGGGGTGTCAGCTTGTGTGGTTCCCACTGGCCTGCAGAAGTCGCGACACTTCCACAAGCCCCTGACCCCAGGGGGCTGCAGGCGTTTGCAGCAGGAGGACGACCCGTCCGGATCTCGATCATGAGATTTGATTGCGGAAGGGATAAGTGACTGCCTTCTTTTGGAAGTCATGCTAGTTCTCCAAGATTTGTGCTGCCACAGGACGAGGCTATGGTGTAAGCTACCAGCGACTACTTCAGCATTAGACATCTCAGACTACGCGGCACAAATGTTGCGGGATCCCGAGACCACGAGGGACGGCAGAGCATCTCGCGGGGTCGTACGAGACTCAACTCGAGAGACGGCCGTGAGAAGAGCGACCCAGAAGCTGAAGTGTCTCAGGCGTCCAGAAACGGCGGGGTCGTTGTTGGTTAAAATAGACAGACCGACCTTTTCC